TATACCCGGGTGCTGAACAGTTCCGGCTCCATGCGGCCTTCTTCCGTCGCTCCTTGGCCGCTGCCCTCCGCAGGAGTTGATGGACTTGCTGAAATATAATAATATTTTATTATTTTTTCACATAAATAATATACTCATGTAATTCATATTGACGTGCATGCTTCTTATGTGTATCTATTTGTATTATTAGGCTGGAGTCTCATGGACTAATATTTTCCACGTATCGCGTATTACCAATCAAAATAACTACAAACATTTAATTTCATGTAATATAAAACACGGAACACTTCTGATTAGTTGCACGATACGCGTTACGCGAAAAAAATAAGTCCATGAGACTCCAACCTTAGTGCATAATACATACGTGCGTGTATGCGCGTGTGTGTGTACCGTATACATGTAAAATACAATTCCATACATGCACATGAACGCACGTATGTACTAGTGCGTGTACAGGTCATATTGGTACATACATAAATAAAATCATAATAGATAAGCATGTATGTGTCAATATGAATAATGTACGAGGGTGAGTCAAAAATTATCCGCACTTTTCGTTCGACAATTTATTTACACAAAAATAGGGGTTCAATATGTACGTCATTTTTCATCATAGTCTCCTCCCTTGGCAATGCACTTGGTCCAGCGGTCCAAAAGCGTATTGCTTCCAAAGAAGGTGTATTTTTTCCAAGAAGAAAACCACTTTTGCACCGCTTCCTGCAAGCCCAGATCTTGCTCCCTTCGACTTTCATCTGTTTCGGCCGCTCAAGGATGCATTGCGAGCTCGTCAAATTTCTACAGACGTAGACGTGCAGGAAGCGATGCAAAAGTGGCTTTGCGACCAACCGAAAACCTTCTCGGAAGGTATACGCAAGCTTGTGCACCGCTGGACCAAGTACATTGGGGAGGAGACTATGTTGACAATTGACGTACATATTGAACCCCTATTTTTGTGTAAATAAATTAGAACGACAAATTAGAATAAGATAAATAAGAAAGATAAATTAGAACACAAATAAATTTTTTGTAAATAAGTAGAACGAAAAGTGCGGATAATTTTTGACTCACCTGTCAACGTATGTCAACTTTATAAAGATATGTACTTACTTTTTTAATATTTGGAGCCGGTGCTGGAGCCGGTGCTGGAGCCGGCGCTGGAACCGGCGCTTGTAAGGCTGCCGGTGCTGGAGCCGGCGCTGGAGCCGGCGCTTGTAAGGCTGCCAGTGCTGGAGCCGGTGGTGGAGCCAGCGCTGGAGCCGGCGCTGGAGCCGGCGCTTGTAGGGCTGCCAGTGCTGGAGCCCGCGCTGCTACGGCTGCCGGTGCCGGTAGGCCTGCCGGTGGTGGTACCGGTAAAACCCCCGGTAAGGGGGTCGGTGGAGGTGCCAGTGGCAGCGGCGGTGGCAGCGACGGTGACAGCGGCGGTGGCAACCTTCCTTGTAAACTTCTAGCTGAAATAAAATGGAATAATGTAGTAATGTATTGTACTATTATAAAGAGAGAGAGTTTATAGCCTGGTTTCTTTGGGAGCTTTCCAGCAAGCGACACAAGTCGACACAAATGTCGTTCTGTCTTTCTTCGCATTCAATGAATAATAAAGACAGAACGACACTTGTGTCGACTTGTGCCGCTTGCTGGAAAGCTCCCTTTGTTCACTATCTCTCTCCCTCTCCCTCTCTCTCTCTCTCTCTCTCTCTCTCTCTCTCTCCCGCTCTCTCGGTCACTCGCTCGCACACTCGCTCTCTCTCCTGCTCTCTCTCCCGCTCTCTTGGTCACTCGTTCGCACACTCGCTCTCTCTCCTGCTCTCTCTCCCGCTCTCTCGGTCACTCGCTCGCACACTCGCTCTCTCTCCTGCTCTCTCTCCCGCTCTCTCGGTTACTCGCTCGCACACTCGCTCTC